TATAAAAATGAATTTAGACTTAACTATTATATATTTACGGTCAATACGACCATGTTCTCTCCATAAATGTTGAGTAATACATGTTGATCTCCCAAAGACAGCTGAATTTGAGTTCATCAGTGGTTAAACCTAGCTAGCTATCGTCAAATATATAATCAGATACGTGTTATATGAAGTGAATTGAGCTCTGACACCTCCATATACAGTCAAGTTCGGTGTACCTTAACTCAAGCAACAACATATGATGATGCTTGCGAAGTTAAATAGCTAAGAATGGCACATACCTCTTGTTTTTCCCTGCCATGCTGGATAAGAAACGTGCAAGGGACGCAATACCCACAATGCACCGCTTTCGGCAGCTCAGCTGAGTTGATCTCTTGGTTAACGTAACATTTGCAATAAACACAGAACAAAAACGAAAGCCCACAGTCGTTTTAACTAAAGGTCATAATGTCTACGTTTTTGATTCCTTATGTTTTTGGTAATATTATTATAAACAGACTTTATTTGTCTCTACATATAGGTGATACAGGATTTTTGTTGTTGTTGTTGCCAATTACAGAAGGTTTCCAGCCACTTACGATATATAAAATTAATAAAAAAATGATATAAAATACCTCACTAAATATATCAAATCCACCGATACAGGTCTCCCACCACAAAGGTTGGTAGACAAAGCACACATACTAGCACCGTTGTAACAACAAAGCCCAGACACATTTGTGGGGGGCGTGACATATTCAACAGAACATTAAAATGTTTAGTAATGCAGATCGGAGCTGATGCGACATTTGATGTAGCATGTCAACTAACCACACACGGCTAAATAAATCACTACATGCATCAAAATTAATCATCACACACGGACAAAACTGGAGAGAGCGCTACACAGAAAGAAACGAGTCTTATCAATCAGACACAGACGACGGCAGGTGGTGAGTTTACATTCTGATCTCATCCAGATAGCTGACAATAAAAGCAACATTTATTTAATTATCATTTCATAGCTTTAAAAATATACGTCATGCAAACACATGCTCATCGTGTCAAAGCTGCAGTGTTATGACATTTCTCCATGGTATTGTTGTGCTCTTTGTTCAGACATCAGTTTGTCAGTTGATCATGTTTAAAGCTCATGCATTGAGCATTGACCTCTCCGTGTCTGGTGCTGTAGTTTAATAAAGCGTTTGAAATGTTATGAGGGCTGAACGATGCTTTTCATTTGTCAGCTGTCAGTGCAACTGATCTCTATGTCTGCACTGTATCCCCTTTGAACAAAGAAAATATGAGATCAGCTAAGAGATTCTTATTATACTGCTATATAAGGCAACATACTGTATTCCTCTATTGTATGATTTTACGTGTAGTTATTGTATATACGTGGACAGCAGACATTTATTTCCTATACATGCACAATGAGTTTGAGCAATTTCCCATTCGAGAACGAATCGTTGTTTTGAGTCCACGTTTTGAATCTTTTCAATGAATCGGTTCAACCGTATTGACAATTAACCCCACTCTGAACGATTCGAATCGCGTCAGAAACTCGAATCCCCTTTTTTAGGACATGTCGGAATGAACTGGTAAGATTAATTCTAATGAATGAAATGTATTACGCATTCAAAAATAGTTTTTAAATGAGAGAAAACGTAACCTAAAAAAGTAATAAACGGCCATTTGTGCCAACGTATGGTTTACTTGGAATATTCAAAGCATGTAATATGCAAAGCATGTATATGATATCAGGGACCTTGTGTAAACCTACTGAGTTAATGACGTAAAATAATTGCTGAATTATTTTAGAACCGGTTCTTTGAAACGAACTGTTCGAAGGAGCCGATTCGCGAAAATGATTCGGGCTTTCCATCACTAACTAACTGTAGTTAAGGAGGTGTGATTTAAGAGTTGTGTTGTAGCTTTTAACGATTATAGAGGTTATCAAATTGCTCGACGACACCGTGTTCAGTTGTGTTTGGATGTGAGCAGTTTTATCAGAGCCCAATTTAAGAGCCAAATAATTAGAAAAACAAACATCCGGCGCGACCTTAAAAAGTGACGTCAGCCTCCAGCACTCTTGCGGCTTTCATTTACGTCACCAAACTGAGGCTTCATGCATTTTTCATATGGACTCTTGATACCGCTGCACTCTAGGATTCAATCCGAAATATTCTTCATAAAGCAGAGAAACGAAACTAAAGGAAAGGGCGTCCATCAGATCAGGTAGTGCTGGTTATACTCAGTGTTATTGTGCTGCATGACTTGTATAGAACAGAGGAGGAGGGGAGAGATGCTCTGTCTGGATGGCACACTGTGTGCTGAGTCAGATTTAATGATACTGGGGATGTTTGTAGGGATTGTCTTTAGCTGCACAGTAAATGTCTAGAATGTAGGAAGAAAAGTGCAATTTCTATATGTATCATGCAATCTGGATAAACACCAGTTACTACAGCTATTGCTACTACTGTAAAATCTTAAAATATGAGTATACTTTCTTTTTCTAACAGTGTATGAAGCTTTCAAAAATGTTCATATTATTACAGTCATATATTTATTTTATTATTAATTAGTTTTTATTTTACACAGTACAGTTTTATTCTAGTAGCAATGGTCTTACTATGGTTACGACGGACATTTTTAGTTAAGGGAGTTTAGTTTTAATGGAGTATCTTATGATAAATGCATCATTGCCTGAAATGAACCATCATAATACAACTTTTATTCAGCAGCAATGCTGGAGTGTCTCAATTTGTTACTGTTTGTTAAGGGCCACACAGAGACATCTTTAGAAACCCTATGCTGAGTGCCTACCAAAAGCTATTGTCAACAGTTTTTTCTCTTCTGCATGTTTAAACAGTTTATTAGTGACCTCGGGTTTCAGACCGCAGTGTTTGCTTTGTATAACTACAAATACTGAGCCTATGACTCCATGCACTTTTCATGCTCTTTCACCTGTCGGCTGTTATTTGGAGTAACATGAGTAATGCTTTGGAGTTGGAGTGGTATTGTTAGGAAAACAGTGCCTTTTAATCGTTCTATTCATCAAAACATCCCATTGCTGGGTGCTGTATTTGATTTCCTTTAATACAGTATCCACCTCAACACTAATATAGAAGAAATGGCATCTTGCAATGGAATTGGAATGCTATTTATCACCCTCCTTTAAAATGTCTCACGCAGCTCCATCCCACTCAAAGTGAAGTGTATGACAGATACCAGCACATGCTACCGTGGGCACCTTGGTTTCTATAGTGATGCCTTTGATGGAGAATTGAATGAGTGCAGCTGGCTGGCCAACTCATCACAACGTGTCCTGGTCCAACCTTTCCATACCACTGGTCCTTTCAGCTGGAACATGCTTTCATTTTTATAATCAACCAACCGGTTTATTTATTCAGTGAGTGTGCTGGAGTCTTCGTGCACAAGAGACCAAATTGAAAAAGCTTTCAAGGCCTTGGGCCAGTGAGAAAAGGCCACTGACTATTGAGGAGCAAACCATATGTAGCTATAAGCTGTAAAATGAGTGGGAATTTGTGAAGTGATCATTTTCATGATATTTAATGCTTGAGCGCTTCGGCCTGGATCGCTTCTCCCATTATGATTCTGTACTCGTTGTTCAAAATGCATTGAAGCCACCATTATGCTGTATGGAAAGGAAATGTGAACCAAGAAAGCACAAATTAAGATGGATTTACAGCCTGGCGAATAACTCCAAGTTTGTTAGAGGCAATGCACAGATGTTAAGCATGTCTAACAGCTAATTCATAATTAGCTTTAGCTTGAATTAGAGTTCTTAAAACCCTTGTGAAATAATTTTTTATTTCCTTGATTTAGCCCAATCCCAATTCTACCCCTTAGCCCTTCCCCTTTCCCCTACCCCTCCGTTTCGTGCATTCACGTGAAGGGGTAGGAGTGTCTCGATTCTCTTTTGGTTGGAGGGGTAAGGGGAAGGGCCAGATAGACCTTCAAACGAAGATTTTTCGGGACCACACTTCAAAAGAAGGGGTATGAATTATCTCAGCATAAACCAGCTTCAGCGACATCATGGCTGTCCGAGTGAACAAAAAGACATTTATGACATTTTTGTTGCACGTTACCATTTAGATGGTTTCAAAGCTAACACACATGAACTAAAAGTCACAAAAAACTAATCTTGACTTCACATGGTCTTTAAGGTGTATTGTGTAGTGTTTATTTCTGATGTGTACATTACCTCAGCTTCCTTTTCAAGCCTTTCCTTCCTTCCTGCCGTTTGTCATCACCTAATGTTTTTTCCATGCTTTATTCTCTTCCCTGTCCTGGTCTCAGGTCAGCAGGTGCCTGGTTTTTCCTATTGCTCGTGTGTCCCACTGAACCTCAGACTAGAGTGTGATGGTATGAGTCAGGACAGTGTGGGCTCTTCAGAGCCATGAACTATTCTGAACTTATCATACACTAGACCTAATAACAACGCACTGATTTAAACACCATTATACATATCAAAACTTGCTTGCTTAACACCACAACCTCTGGACTAATTTGTTCTCACACTGAGTTTGTGCATTTTTCTTCTAGGGAATGCTGCTTTTTACATTTTCTCTAAATGTTTCCGGTGTCATGAACATCATTGACCATTGGTAACATATCAAAATCAAGCAAAGTTCATGCAAATGATAAAATGTGGTGACAACTAATGTAAGTACAGACAGTGATCCACTGTCTGATGACAGTTAAATACAGCAGTCAAGTAGGAACGTCTGCTAGCGTCCAACAGCACAAAGACTCAGAACTCTGATCAGATGTTCAGCCCATTTGTGATCAGATTTTCAAAAGCTACTGCCAGTTAAGCAGTACCAATAACTTTAGGGCACCTGCTTTGATGGACAGTTCAGCTACTCAGCGCCCTCCATAGGCCACTGTATGTGTGAACGGGCCATAATGGTATTGTCAAACCCACGGGAAACTGCCTAAATCTACCAGTGTTCTGCAAAAGCCTCGATTTGAGATAAACTGCTGTGTTAGTGATGGGAAGTTCGGCTCTTTTCAAAGATTCGGCTCCCTTAGAAGAGCCGGCTCGTACGGCTCCCAAATGGCTCTTTATTTAGTATCACTCCGAGCCTTCTATTTTAGCCCAATTTAGCAATTGTGAATGGTTTGTGTGTTGGTAAGCAATTTTTTATTCAGTGTTTTCATAAAAGCCTTATTTTTATGCATTTTTTTTCGTTAGAAAAAAAAATACACAGATACTATTATTGAACATTTTAATAAACTTTAATAATAGCCTAACACTTTAGTCTTTAGGGTAGGTTGGCATTCAGAAATATCAGATGCCTCAGCTTGGATGTGATGATGCGATTTCTCCGCTCTGTGATTATTTGTCCTGTTTTTGAGAAGGCTCTCTCTGAGGGGACCGATGTTGCAACAAATTGCAGTGTGTTCCTACCTTAACCAATGCTCTTGCGTTTAAATCCGGCTCCCCTGTCTCTCTTGGTGTACCTGGCCTATACCACTACACTCGCTACAGTGGGGCAAAAAAGTATTTAGTCAGCCACCAATTGTGCAAGTTCTCCCACTTAAAAAGATGAGAGAGGCCTGTAATTTTCATCATAGGTATACCTCAACTATGAGAGACAAAATGAGAAAAAAAATCCAGAAAATCACATTGTAGGATTTTTAAAGAATTAATTGGTAAATTCCTCGGTAAAATAAGTATTTGGTCACCTACAAACAAGCAAGATTTCTGGCTCTCACAGACCTGTAACTTCTTCTTTAAGAGGCTCCTCTGTCCTCCACTCGTTACCTGTATTAATAGCATCTGTTTGAACTCGTTATCAGTATAAAAGACACCTGTCCACAACCTCAAACAGTCACACTCCAAACTCCACCATGGCCAAGACCAAAGAGCTGTCAAAGGACACCAAAAACAAAATTGTAGACCTGCACCAGGCTGGGAAGACTGAATCTGCAATAGGTAAGCAGCTTGGTGTGAAGAAATCAACTGTGGGAGCAATTATTAGAAAATGGAAGACACACAAGACCACTGATAATCTCCCTCGATATGGG